ACCCAGAAGACTACAACTGGTGAAAATTTGATTTTAGGGTATACCCGGTACTTCCCCTTTAAAAATCTACGCATTTCAAAAAGTGTGTACGCCATTTTCTCTCCCGTAGTCGTACCGTACTCTTTGATCTGTACGATTTTCCTTTGCCGCCATAGGCGCTAGGCGCTAGGCCATGTTGGGGAAGGAATTTTTTTTAGGTTTATTAGTTTTTTTTGTTTTTTTTTGCTGGTGAGCACGTAGCTAGATCTACGTGCACGTGGGCCACCAACTACTCGAACGAGTCGAAGTCAAACTGTCTGACATTCTTTTTTTTTCTTTCTTTTTTCTTTTTACCAGGCGTGGGCCATCCCCTGAATTCATAGGTGCCAACTCGGAAAAAAACAAAAACTGTCTGCACAGCTGTGCAGAAGCGTGGAACCTACGCATGCAAGATCTGATTCCTTTCGCCACTTTCAGCTTTTATTATTGTGAGACTCAGTGTTGAGTTGTTGAGTTCGACTAGTTCTTTCTTTGTAGTGGCTACTAGTGCACTCACGCCTCACCTGTTCACTTCTGTTAGGCCCCGAACAGCTGCTGTTCTTCAAGAGTGGTGCTGTTCCTTGAAGGAATAGCCAAATGGAAGGATTTGGCGGCGGACCCCGCGTTCAAGGCGTCGGGCGAGGCCGGGGCAGGATATCTGCCAATGGACCGACTCCTCGACCTGGAAGCAATGCTCCTGGCGACGGATTTGGCAACTCCGATGGAGGTACCACCATGGAAATTGCCTCCAAGGATGTTCGATTTGTTGTAGGTAAGTTTTTGGCAAGCTTGGAGCATCTCTGACTGCTGCATTATGTTCAAAGCGATGGTCTTATGATCTCAATTTTCCCACAGTTTCATTTCAGTATAACACATTTTACTTTTTTAGTACCCCGATGATGGCCAACGGGCGCCATAGCAGAAATTGTTCTCTAGAGTGCGACATAGAGCCAGCGAGTACGAGTGTGGGGGGGTGGAAATATTTGCTGCTGCAAACAAGTCATTGCAATGGAGTCGAGTGGTTGTAAAAACACTCAAAAATGTTTGTGTTGAGTATTTTTTGTGTGTAAATAATTGCTCTGATGTGTGGTGCGTGTGATTAGGCCGCGGCGGATCCAAGATACGAGAGCTGGAGGAAACCAGCGGTGCAAGAATCCAGGTAGGCAACAGTAAATGTTGCTTGTTTCCAACTTTGTGCCGCCAAGGTTTTTTCCTGATTTTGCTTTTTTAATTTTTTTTTATACGGTAATTTGCTTTATTTAAAATTAAAAAGAAAGGAGCAAAGGCGTACAATCATGTTATCCGTAGTTTGTCCACCACTAACAATAGCCAGTGCAGGCTAAATTTTATTTTTCAAGGAAACCCTTCGAAAATGGTACCAATCGATTCAGCATGGCATTTTCATTCCTCCTGCAAAGTTTCAGCTGATTTGGAGTCATGACAAGGACGCTATGGCGATTTGAAGATCGAAAAACTTCAGTTTTGTTTGTCGAGAAGAAAGGCCATGATCGCACACAAATCATACAACCCGTGTGGCACAATGATTTTTGAACGAAGTTGATCCGCGGACCCCGTGCTTCGCGCATGCACGCATGCATACTGCACAGTACAGAGGCTTTTTTGAACGCAGATATGTAGTTCTTCGTCTTCTTCGAAATGTCTTCCAAATGCGTGGTGCTGGTGTTGTTCTCAGCTTCGTCAAGGCAGAATGCAGCTGCATGTGATGCTCCTGTGTGTTCATGCATGTTCTCTTTTCGCGTCTCGACATTGTAGCGTCCAGACTCAGCTCGACTGGAGAAGATTGAGGAGACTATGCTTTGATCCACATGGAAAATCGATGAAATTTGGTAATTATCGTTGGGCGCTAAAAAGCGCTGGGGAGCATGGGGCTAAAACTCCGTAGCAGTCATCCCTACCATGACAGGCATCGACTGGTATATGTTCCATTCTGTTCCCAACCACTACGGGTCGTCTGCGAAGCTTTCTTCTTCGCCGATTCTCAGACAGATCGTACGTCTTCGCACTGTATCTCTCGTCTCCCTCAACGGATCAAAACACGGTTTTCGCCAGGACGAACACAAACCCCCAGATTTCGCGGCGGCAACATCTTCGAGTAGGGAAAAGCTAGCAGCTAACCAGGAATCACCAAAAAACACGTGTAATAGTGTGATTTGCGACAGCTGTCATTGTGCCGTCGCACCATGCATGTACCATGCACGGGAATGGAACACGGATGAGTCGTTTTATTACGACAGCCTGCACTGGCTACTAACAACTATGAGAAAGATGCTGATGAGTCAGAACGTGCAACAGTTAGCACAATGATAGCTGATGTGCTATACCCGATGTGGTACTCACATTTTGTTAGTTTTTGTGTGTGACAAACTTCTGATAATAATTATGTAAACCTTTGGTCCTTTTCATAAGCTGAGGGAATGGAAAAGGGAAAAAAGTCTGAAGAAATAATCCAATGTCACCTTTGGTCCTTGTTTTTCATTTTAATCCTTGGCTCTCCACGTGAATCTTCTACGATTTCTTTCACTTGGGGGGGGGGGGGAGTTGGAACCAGCACGGCTGTCCCGTATGGTCATGTGATAATACGTGAAGCCACTCTACCCCCCACCCCCTGCTGTTCCCATGTGTTGTACCAGGTCTATGTGGTGGTGCAGTGCCCGCTCCATAGGAACATACCTTCGTCTACCGTGCGGTCCAAAGAAATCCCTCATGAATAATAGCGTTGCCGGGCGCTACGCAGCCCTAGCACTACACATACTGGCCTGTGCACTCTAGCGCAACACTACTTTATTCATGAGGTTGGATTTCTCTGCCCAGCACTGTACTAGGATGCGAAGACGGCAATTTTCAATTGTTGGAGTTGAAATCTAATGCCGTAGAGACCTGTATGCTGCAGCTAGCTTCGGAGCAGAGCTTAGTGTTTGTAGTTTGCTGAGACCTTTCAGCGCCTAGCACTGTTTTGGTGACGATGTCTGATACATTTGTCATAGCTGTTGTTTTGGGGGCAAATACTAGATGAAGTCCGAATCCATTCCAATCAACAACAACAACAACAACACCACCTGGTGTGCAGTTTCAGTATGCAGCACGTTCTGTTGGTGGCTGCCATGATGGTTTGGTGTGCCAGCTGAAAAGGACAAGACATCCGGTATTATGTGATCAGCTTCTATGGAGTTGTGGATTTACCTACAGTCCATTCATTGGAAACTGGCACCCTAACTTTTTGGTGTCTCTCTCACATAGTTGTAGATATCGTGAAAACAACAGTACATCCTGCAGGGTGTGACCGGTGCAATTACTCCTAGCCACATTTGAGGCCAGAAAAGTCCAAGAACAGGGAAATAGAAATTCAGCCAGGTTTTACAAAATTAGGACAGGTATGCCATGGGAAAATGTATGCAGAAGCAGATCCAAAACCCAGATTTTTGAGATTTAAAGTGGGTTTTTGATCCTCAATTCGGGCCAAATCCGACTTTCAAAAGCCAGCGGGCCATTTTCCGATGAATGGACTGTAGGGTGGTATTGCATTGGGAATGGCATGTCAGTCACCTTCTCAGTACAGCAGTAGTAGTAGGACAGGGTGAATGTATTCTTCGGCCCTAATCAAGTTTGTCATCCAGCTCACCGCCATGTTCTTCCCTTCCGTGCTCTTTATTTTCTATTGTTTCCATCTCGCCTCATCTGTCTCGTCCCGTCTCTCCTCATCTGTCTCGTCCCGTCTCTCCTCATCTGTCTCGTCCCGTCTCGTCTCTCTCTCTCTCTCTCTCTCTCTCTCTCTCTCTCTCTCTCTCTCTCTCTCTATCTCTATCTCTCTCTCTCTCTCTATC